TAAAATATTGTAGATTTACTTTAATTTTTCAATAAAGACAAGCCATCGTGGCATGATTGCAGGTTAAAAAAAAAAAATAATAATAATAGTATACAAAAAACTTTTTAAAAGTAAAAATAAATTATAAAAATTAATTTTTAATAATATATTATCCAAAAATTTATAACTTAAAGAATATTTAAATATTATAAAAATAAGATCAAATAATAAGACTTTGTAATAGACTTAATAATTTAAAGTCAACAAATACCAAAATAATAATTAAATTAAACAAGTTCAAATTAAATATTGAAAGTTACTTAACTTATTTATCTACTGTTCACTAAATTATCTATTAAGCAAAAGTAATATTATATTTCAAGAATTATTTTTTAAAATTGAAAATAATACAATATCTTTGAATAGAATAAAGAAAATAATTTAATTAAGAAATACATACTGTATATTAAGATAAATATAGAAAAATCATACTATTACTTAGAAACAATAAACTGATTTTTTTTTTTTAAATATATGATCAGATTAACATTGTATTTTTATTAATTAATATGAAAACTAATAGTGATATATATGACAATTGTATTATGGCTAAACTAAAACTTGCATTAATTCACTTGTTAATAGCTTTTAGTTCTCAAAAGAGCTTCAGTTTCTAAGTACAATTTTGAAAATAATATTTTATTCTGTAATAGATTTTGAGTAAATATACTTCTAATTTATATATTATTTCTAGTAGGTAGTTACTATTTATTATCCTCCAAAGAATTAATTTTGAGAAACTACAAAAGGAAAAAGGAAAAATAAAAGGAAAGAATATATCTAAAAATGTATAATTGTACTTACATGAAAATGAAAAATGAAAAAAAAAAATAAAAGTGCTTTATGTCCTCCAAAGGATTTCTACTAAAAATCTCTTCTCATTAGGAGTCAACCCTTCTGGAATATCCTTTTTCTTCCTGACCATTTGAGGAACTTATCCATTCATGATCTTGATTATTTTCTTGTGACTATTTGAGAAACTTATCCATTTATGATTTTGATTATTTTCTTGTGACCATTTGAGATACTTATTACCTACTTGGATCCAGTGTCTTGCTTAACATTTTCTTTTTTTTGGTCTTGATTTTATATCCACCCATGCAGAACAGAATGACTAACAGTGGCCCCAGGTTCTTATATGGCTTTTTAGTCTTATTGTATAACTCTCAATATCTTCTAGTAGCCATACCTAGTTAAAGGAATTTTATTGGTGTATATCTTCTATTACCCAAAAAGTCAGATTCCCATAAATCTTTTTGCCTTGTAATGGTATAAGGTTTTTGACCAGTATCAGGGATCCTCGTCAATTATGATATCATTATACAACATCTGGGGAAATGCATTTTTAATTCTATAGAAGGGCAGTGTTTTACATTTCTTGACTTTTTGATCTTACAGCTTAACCGGGATAAGGAAATAATTTCTTTTGCATACTTTGCCTGATTGGGATAATAAGAAGTTGAAGGTCTCGGTTTGAACAAATAATCACCTTTTCACCACCTAGGGAATTTGGTGCCCATCTTAATGATCTCATAATTTCTTTGTTTCAGTTACATTTCATTTAGAGGAATGGAGGAGTCTATATAAGTGATTACTCTTTCATTTACCAATGACAACATCGAAATACATGATATAACCAGTAGGAGCTTGTTTACATTCTGCTATCAACGTGTTTCGTATTGATCAATTATCTTTAGCAAAAGTTATGTCAATCTTGTGTCACTTCAAAATTCAGGTCAAGCTGGGGTAGACAAAATTCCCCAAAAAATTCTGAAAAATGAGTGACTCTAAGAAGGTAGAAACAGTGGGAAGGAAATTTTTATGGTTTAAGCTTTTGTTCATCCATCCACCTATTGTAGAATACCTCTAGTTGCACTCTTGCTTCAGAAGATAGGCTTTCAGTACTTCATTGTTGGTTTTTCTTCCTTTTAAAACTTTCTTGCCATAGGTAAAAAAGGTGTTTCTTGACTTTTTTTGATTACTGGAAGTCAAGTTTTTGTTTAAAAAGAAGTATAAACAAAAATGTGAAGTTGGGAGGGACTCTTGAAGATATCCTTCAAGTTGTTTTAGAGAAAGTAATAAGATTTTATTAGCAAAAAAGTATAAAACTTTTTGCAAACATCTTTTTTGTGTGTTGTCAATGGATTAGCAAAAAGAGTTATTTATAAATAAAAAACTTATTAAATATATAGCTTATAAATTGTTTAATAAGTATATATGATTAACTTGACAAAGAGTTAAAAAAAAATACTATATATTATAATATTATAATTAAAATATAAAAAATTATTTGTTGATCTATAGATCAATAATTTAATAATTATATTTCCAAGTTGAAATCACAAAGTCTATGGTTAAATATTACTTAAAAATTAAATTAAAAAAATATAACTTTTGATTAAGTTTATTAATTATTTTATAAAAGTTATATTCAATTATTTGAATCTGATATAAATTAAGTTACAATATATAAAAATAAAACTTTTAGCCTTTTATTAATTAGGGATTGAGATTTATAAATATAACAATAAAAGAATTATATAAAGAAAAGCTTCTGATCTAATTCTTATGAATGCTCTATATAGATTTTTTGCTTTGGTAAACTTCAAAACTCATATTCTTTTAATTTGGGATATTCAAATCTAATGCTTTAATTAAATAAAAGTCAATTAATAAAAATTGATTTTATATTACAAATAACAATAAAAAAGTTAACATGCTCTCTTTCAAGATCTGAGTTATCAATATTTAAGTATATTGAAAGATGTTTAAAATTTATCAACTAACTTATATAATCAATTTAGATTAGTGAATATTAAAAATTTAAAACTCAATATTAATTAATTGAAATCTGTCATTATTAACTAAATATTTGATCATTCAATTCTTAATTAAATCTACTTATTCTCAGAATACAAACTAGTTTACCTAGATCAGTTATAATATATTATTATTAATTTATATATATATAGAAATATATAGTATATATGAGATATTGTAATTGATATTTAACTAAATAATTTAATGTTGATAATAAAGTCACATATTTAATACCTAGTTGCAGTTTAAAAAAATAATAATTATTATTTAATTTTAAATTCTTAGTATCAATAAAGAAAATAAATTAAAAATAATAATTAGATGTTGTAAAATAAACTTAAAGATTTGATTTAAAAATTTTTTTTATCTTCAAAATTAAAAAGATCAAAATTTATAAAATAAACAAATTCAATAATTTTATAAATATTTCTATAAAATAGGTTAAATATAAAAATCTAATAATATGGTTTTGATTATTAAAATTGAATAAAGTTTTTATAACAATTGTATAAAAAATATATATTGTTAATATTAAAATTAAAAATTTTGTTACAATTTGAAATTAAAAAAATAATAATTTAAATTAAATGATATTAAAGATAAATATAAAATTTATAAATTTAATAAAATAATTAAAATTAGTTTTATTCATATAATATTTTTCATACATCTTTTAAGATTAATAAAAACAAAAGTTTTTTGATAAACCTAATTCATAATGAGTTTCTAATATTATAGTAACTTTAAAAAAAATCAAATATTTATTTAATAGTAATTTAATCGATATGTAAATTCCTAAAAAAAAACATTATAATATTTTTTTTGAATATCCAATTACAAGTAAAATAAAATATATATATTTTTAAAAAATTTTTATTTACTATATATATGAATAATAAAAAAATAAGCTGAACAATTATTTATTATCTAGAAAGTATAAAAAATTATTGAAAATTGAGTTTATGCTATACTCGCGAATAAATTGAGATGACACTTTCTTTGATCGTATCGTAAAAATCAAGTAGTAATAAAACTTTGAATAATTTATAGTAATGACTTGTAAGCAATAATTTTATTGATTAAAGATTGATTTAAATTAGCAAATATATATTCATATATACAGTATATAATATATATTATTTTATAAATTACATCTAGAAAAATTATTTTCAGCAAAGGATGTGTTAATATGAGAGTTATATTAATCTATAAATATTTAGAATATACACGATAAAGGCAAGTTATGTTAATCAGCAAATTAAATAAATAATTTATTATATATGATATTAAAGATTATTTATTTAAAGTAAATTAATGTTTTTGTTAATGAATTTATAACTCGAACGAGAATTTAATTATATTTTTAATAGATTATACAGTATGATAATTATTTTTAAAGATTTTTTAATCTAGTATAAACAAAGCTTATGTTCTGTATACGATGATAGGTCCCTTATGCGTTGCACGATTGAAATTTATATAAGGTAAATTAAACAATAGTTGTGTGTTATTGATTATCTGAATGACTTTTATTATGATAAACAAATTTCATACGTGTCAAATGTATGTTTAATCAAAGGAAGAAACAAAAAGGAATTTTTGAAAATAAAAAAAAAAATCTTTGCAACAAAAAAATTTGTGCGCGCACGTACGTAAGTACGTGCGCGCACCATAATAGCATCGAAAAAAGGTACGGTTGCCTATCTTCGGTGTTATACGGTGTGTCGGTCCTTTGTTGGATTTGTTGGTGTGATGAGCAATGTTCAGTCATGCTCGATAGCTTTGATAACGCGGATCAGGATCTTGTTTAGTTGGCCTAACGAATTCGAAGTTTCAATTCCAATCCCTTTAGCGCACCAATAAGCGACCGACATTTGGCACAAGGAGAGCGAACGAAATCAAACACGGTTTAAATGAATACCTATTTATTTATGCACACAGTTCTTCAATTGTTTAAGAAATCACGCAATATTAATTATATACACGCAATAGATCATTAAGACTGGAGACATTACGCGATTACATAAATTCCCATTTTACTCTCTTCTGATCAATGACGACCGACCACCTTGACTCACATACGCACACTAATAAAACACGTATCCAATGTGAGAACGTTTTCTCGGCGATTTTGTATTTTGCGGTCCGAAGTAAGAGTGTGTCTGGTCGTGTAACGAATGTAGGCTAAAAACGTTCTCACACAATCTCGTATGCATTATTATGGGAATTTGATTGTGTGTGTGAACAAGGCCAAAACCATTTTCATCTAACGGGAATCTGAGCGGGCCCCGGAGTCTTTCAAGCTTAACCATAACTTTCTTTCCGCTGGAGAACATTTTCTTTATCTCATGCAGTATTGCATAACCGCCTGGCGGAGTATCCAGCAATTTTGCTGCGGATAAAGTAGAACGCAGATTCTGGCGAGATTAGATAAGAATTTAATGTAAGAATTGCGGGGTTACCAAGAGCTTTTTTTAAACAACGAAATAGACCTAATAAAATCGGCGCAGGTTTTAAGGATACACGACGAAATTGATAAGACTTGTTAAGGTTTAGGTTTATCTCGTTTAACTAATAGCCAAATGTTCTGTTTCGAAGAGTTTTTCATGCAGTATTCTCTAATGATGCAGCAACACATCCATACCAATTTGGTAAAATAAAAAGCGAAATTATTTTTTTTTTTTTTTTTGCGCCGAGGTTGATTATCATATTATCGTTGCAAAATTTCAGCCAACCGGTTTTATTTATGATGGATCATGTTTATAATTAATTTTATCAGCAATAATGTTGAAGGATCTTATCAAATTACCCCTATGGAAGTTTGATAAAGTGATGCAATGCGATGTCTCACGAGGATCAAGCGGAATACGACATACGAATACGTAGTACGTACATTACGAATTAAATCCCAACAATTTCTACGACAAATTTGTGACCATTGTGATCATCATTTTTGGTTGCGGATCGGACAATTCGAAAATTGAACAAGGTTTCATCTGTTCATATATTGAACTCTAAATGGATTGATATTCTTGGACGAACCATAGTAAAAATAATATCACACAAATAATCAATTGGTGTTTAAATGAGGAAAAAGGAAAATTACATCAAAATTATGCTATGGGAATTGATTTGATTCGTATATAAGTCCATTAATTTGATCATAAATGTCCCACGTTTTTTTTTTTTATTTTTTTTTTTCATTTTTTTTTTTGCTTTACATAAAAAAAAAAAGGTGTATATATCATACATAAATCCATCATCATCACAAAAATCATAGTGCAAAAATGGATCTCTTAACACGCCCTACTCAACCCACCTTGGGCTACAACCCGTCACAGCGTAATATTCCAAGAATTTCACAGGTCAGCAACACACGTCCGAACAGACCGCGACAGACGGCCTTCGGAAAGGAAAACATGGAACAGTATTTCGACGAAGCAGCCATATTGTTTTGCGGACGGGCTGCTGGACCACCCGTAAAGACCCACTGGAAGGTTGGCATTTTCAGTGGTTAAGTTATTTTCCACATCCTAAATGTACACCTTCGTATTCTCATATGTGAATACCATTATTATCGGCTTTAGCCTGACTCTGAAGCTACAAAATGTGCAATGACATTTTGTAAACGCGAATTCGGTCTATTTGAACGACGTCATCATTGTAGAAGGTACGATCATTTTAAGCTGCTTCGAGGTTTACCTCTAAATTGATTCTTTTGTCAAACCATGGGTATTAACTCCGCGACCTTTCACAGATGCGGCGACATATTTTGCGGTGTTCATTGCTCCCACTATATTCGACTCGACCAAAATATACACTTCAACTTGGCAGGATACGCCGAGAGAGTTTGCGACAAATGCTACGACGATTACACTAGATTGTTAAACAGATGTAAATATCCTGATCCGATATACTATGGTTATCTAGAAGAGGAGGATGCCAGGGACAACTGTTATTCAGCAATGAACGGCAACAATAATGACGATGATATCACTCGGGAGGAAGATGCACAAGATATTCTTAGAGAGGGTGAGTTTAAATCAGTTATCTCGCATTCACCCGGGTGTCCTATTTATAACAATCTTTATGAAATAATAGATTTCAGGCATATAAACCCATACCAAAATCAATTAGGTAATTGACCTTTTCCATAATGAACCAAAATTTTAATAAAACGGACGATTGATTTCTCATGATGTTCCTACTTTTATCATCAATATCAATAGAAGTCACATACGGAAGAACCCCCACAATTCCTGCGAACTGGGCTTGGTCAACATTTTAAAAGTATTATACGCAAATAGAGTAAAAGGCGGATGGCGTCGCATGTATTATATTTAACTGAGTTTTTTTAAAAAAAAAAAAAAACCAACGAAAAAAAAAAGGGCTTTCAAAAATTTCCTGATTTGGAATTTTAAAAAATGATCACAAAAAATTGTGATCACATCGACATATGTAAATTTTCTACCTATTCATTTAAAATTTAGGTGCCACTCACTTTATGTTATGCATCTTTCTTTCTTTCTTTCTTTCTACGGGGTTTCATAAAAAAAAAAAGAAAAAAAAAAAAAAAACTTACTTTTTATGTTTCTTTATAAAATGGTGTGATTGTTGGCAAGTTGGATTGTGTTATTAGCAATGTACCTATTTTTTCATTTGCAACGAAACTAAATCAACGAAAAAAAAAAAAAATAGATTAAAATTAATTTTAGTAATAACGTGGTAAAATAAACAAAAGATTTCTTAAAAAATTCGTGTCAAACTTTAAACACGGATTTTCAAAAGTTTAATTTTCAAGTAGAAGTACAATTACTTTCGATTGTAACTAGAGTCAATGTGAAAATTGTCTAAAAAGTGCTGTATGCATCCTAGTTTGTACATTGCCAAGCCGGCATTTCGACTCCGGATTTTAAATACAGCTTTCAAATCCGGATTTATTAATATCAATGAATTCTTTTTATTGCTAGTTACCAGTTGATACTATTAAATATAACAAGCATTTTCAATCACGATTTATTACCTTTTGTTCTCCAATTGCTAAGCCTTTTGCCTGAACTCATAAAAAATTAAATATCATCTATATAATAAAATTCAAATGTAAAAATATTTTGTTTTCAAAATTTAAGTTTATATTTATTCATTTATTTACTGTATAGAATCTCTATTATACTTTTATTTTTTTAAAAAGGTTTTCAATATTATACTATTAGTTTTTTTTTTTTTTGAAACTTTCTTATTATAGATTAAAAAAGGTATTTTTTAACTTTTTTAAATTATTAAAAGTCAAGATTTTGTCTAAAAATATATATATATATATACAGGTATATATAAAATAAAGTAGAAATCACTTTTAAATTTATTTTTCAAGTTATTTTGATAAAAGTATAAATCCTTTTATGAATATATTTTTTATACATCATTAAAGAATCAAATAAAAAAAGTTTAAGTATTATTATTATTTTTTTTTAGTACCCATAGTTAGGCTAGATTATCAGTTTATTAATTAATTAAAAACATAAGTACATTTTCATTCGAGCAACATAATACATACTATAGCCAAACTATTATTCTAATCTAACCAACTCATTATAAGTATAAAGTCTCTAAGTTCAACCTTGGGAACAATATTTTGTTTTGCAATGTTTTTGGGTGAAAACTTTCTTAGTTCACTGCATCATTATCAACAAATTATTACTACTGTATATCTTATCAAGTCACTGGAATATAGGAAACTACAAAAGGATAGATTGAAAAAAAAAAAAAGAAGGAGATATCTAAAAATATCTAAATAGATAACAAGAAAATAAAATGATAAAAAATTGAAAAAAGAAATTTCAGCTTCCTCCAAAAACCTACTTTTCAAGACCTCTTCTCAATAAAAAATACTTGATTAGGATATTCTTTCTTTTCCTGACCATTTGAAAAACTTATTCATTCTTGATCTTGATTTTCTTTTCGTATATCATCTAAGAAAACTTATTGCCTAGTGATAGTTTTTACTTCTAGAGTACATTTGATCCCAACCTTCTTTGAGTAGTGATTTTTTATTCAACTATAATAAAGGAATGACTTATAATAAACCCTAGGTTCTTATGTGATCTAGTAAAAATTGGATCATGTTGTTTTAATATAATACCTTTCAGCAGTTATGTCTAATTAAAAGAATTTTATTGATATACATCTTTTATTACCCAAAAGGTCAGATTCCTCAATAATTCTTTTGTCTTATAATGATGAAAGGATTTTAAAAGAGATAAGGATTCTCATCAATTATGATATTCTTCAAGAACTTCTGAAAATATGCATTCACAATTGTAACTAAAGGATTAGAGCTTAGCATAGACTAGAGATCATTTGATTTTATTGCTTGACTGGAATAAGAGGAAAATCTTAATCTTGAACTTCATCTAACTAAAATAATAGGAAAGAAAAACCTTAATTTAAACAAATAATAACTTTTCATCACCTGAAAACTTGTTGCTCATATCTTATTAATCTTAAGAAACTTGATCTGTAGATTAATCCAATTGGAAGAGTGAAACAGATACAGGGCACCAATTAATTCTTTCAATTATCAATGATATTATTAGAATATATAAAATAACCAATAAAAGCTTGTTTATATTTAATTATTAATGTATTTCATATTAATCAATTAGATGCCAGGTGTTATTGTGCTATTAAAAATTCAGGATCAAATTGAGGTAAGCAAAATTCCCTAAAAAAACCATAAAAAACAGTAGATACTTTAATAGAGTATAAGACAGTATATGAGAAGATGAATAATATATCTTCTCTTACCAACAAAACCTTTATTTCTTGATACTTTCAGCTTTATAAAATGATACTCCACTTATCAGTTCTTTTACTTCCTAGAACCTTCTTGCCTTTAGTAGAAAAAGTGTGTATCTAAGTTTTTTCAGACTACTAGAGACTCAAGTTTTTATTCAAAGGAGTTTATAAACAAGTAAGGAAGAGTAAGAGAGATAAGTGAAGACAAGTTTCAAGTTATTTTAATAGAAATATAAAGACTTTATTAGCAAGGAAGTATAAAATTTCTTGCAAATATCTTTTTTATATAGGATCAGAGAATCCGCAAAAAGAGTTTTTATTATATTTAAGTATTAGCATTATCTCAAATTTAATTCAAATTAATATTTATAATATTTTGTTATTTAAAAATCTATATAAAATAATTACAAATATATAAAAAATACATGTACTTTTGAAAATTTTTAATTAATTATAATTTGATTAAAAATTTTGTTAATATAAATATATTTTTTAGAATCTAAAAAATTATTTATTAAAGTTTGTTTAATAATTTATTAATAAGTTATTATAAATTTTATTTTAAAGTTTAAAAAATATATTTTAAAAATATATTACAAATTTTATAAATAATTATAGTATACACAGTATATATTTATATATATTTATATTTCAATTCTTTTTGCCAATTCTCTGACTATACACAAAAAAGATATTTGCAAGAAATTTTTAACTTTTATGCTAATAAAATCTTTACACTTTCCTTAAAACAACTGAAGGTTTATCTTCAGAAGTCATTTATATCCTTCTCTTTTTTGTTTACAATTCTCTTTAATTATAAACTTGACTTTCACTGATCTAAAAACTATATAACACCTTTACTACTATTGGCAAGAAAGCTCCTAAAGTAAGAAGAATCAATAGTGAAGTAATTGAAGGTTCTATTCAGTTTTGTTGAGACTAAAGAGATATTGTATAGTAAAAGTAACTTATTTTTCTCTCTTTTTTACTATTTGTTTTCTCTTAGAGCTACCACTTTTATAGTTTTTTGAAAAATTTTGTCTATCTCAATTTGATCCTGAATTTTAAGTAGCACATACTCTTATAAAATCTAATTAATAAACAAGAAACATATTGATTTCTGAAATGTAAACAAGTCTTTATTGACCATATACATGTGTCTTAATAAGACACTGCCTTCTAACATATTAATAAATATCAAGAAAGAGAATAATCTTCAAGAAAACTATCTATCATCACTTAGGAAAATAAGAAAAACAAGATGTTCAAGAAGATATAGAATAAAGGCAAAGCCTTGAAAGTATATTATCTATTTATATAAACCTGAAATATCAGGAGACTAGAAGATCCTCTAGGATCATTTATATTAATCAAAAATAAAATCATTAACAGAAGGTGTTGCTATTAACATAGTGAATCAACTTCTCTATAATAGTAGTACTTCAAAAGCAATATTTATTAAGTTTAATGAAAGCATATATCAAAAAGATCAAGATTTCTTTTCTAGATAGGTTATCACAATAAACAAGTAAAGATAAATTCACTGAATGACAAAGGTTCCATTTCTTATACCACTTTCTTCACAACCTCTTTCACCTCAACTCTCTTCAACTCCAGTTATAGATACTTACAAAAATCCCTTTAACTTGTCTAGTTACTTGAAAGAATATCAAAAAAAATTTCAATATAAGTAGGGTAAGGCAAGATATA